AGACAAGGGGTCGGGTCCAGCGCAATGCAGGTTTGTAGCGTGGACCACATCTCCTCCCTTCCTCTCCCTTCCTCTCCCAAAGGCCAGTGCAGGCAGAGTTCCCTGGATTCACCCTCGTCTCTGAGTGGGTTGTGTCTCAGTGTTTGTGACTTTCCGGATGCCCTTGTTTTGCCCTTTTCCGACTGCATGTCCACACCCTAGTAACCAACAGCCAGAGAGACATTTCCATCGAGCTGCTTTCTGGCATCCCAACTCCCATCCTGAACCTGTTGGAGAGAGCGGTACCAGGTTCTCTCCTCTCCCTAGTGCATCCTTGGCATCATCTCTGACCATGATAATTCTCAAAGATGTGTGCCAGCCCCATGTCTGCCCTCCCCATCCCCTTTCTGTTTTCCTTCTACCAGGCTTTGGGTGTCTACAGTACAGCACATCCCTGTTGCTAGTCTGTTCCCCAGGATGCAGGAGACCTCGTGTCTGATTATTTGTCCCTTCTCCTGATGACTGTCTGGTGAGGGGACAGTCATACATTCTTTTCTTTTTGAGATATCACTTAAAAGACAAATTCATGGTCATGGTTTTCAGATGAAACTCAGAACCCAAATGGCCCAGGTATGATATAAACAAGGACTGAGCTGTGGATGAGATTTCCCCAGTGTCAGATTCTCAACCCCTCTCTAGGCCTTAAAGGAGATGGAGGTTTGACTCCCATGTCTGTCAACATTCCGGCAAATGGAAGCAAACAGATTCTTAGGCTTTAGTTACTTTGGAACAACAAGGCAGGCTCAACGATAAAGAGATATTTGCAGGGCAATAACTGTCCTTCCTGCTAATGGGGAGACACTGCTTTGGCAATTTCTCAGTGACTCGGGGGAAGGGGATTGACATGCTTCGCCCTGATTTTGAAAAGAGCCTGTAGGTCCCTGTCTTAGTTAGGGTTTCTATTTTTGGGAAGAGACACCATGACCACGGCAACTCTTATAAAAGAAAATATTTAACTGGGGTGGCTCACTTACAGTTTCCGAGGTTCAGTCCATTATCATCAAGGTGGGACATGGCAGTGTGCAGGCAGACATGGCGCTGTAGAAGGAGCTGAGAGTCCTACATCTTGTGGCAACAGGAAGTAGTCTGTGACACTGGGAGTAGCTTGAGCATAGGAGAACTCATAGCCTATCCCCACAGTGACACATGTCCTCCAACAAGGCCACACCTCTTAATAGTGCTACTCCCTTTTGTGGCCATTTCTTTCAAACCACCACAGTGCCCCTTTCAATCAGGAACTGGATGCTGCCTGCAGCTGGCGTTTCCTCCCTCCACTCCTTGCTGGCTGCTGTCGTGACTGCTGTGGTTCTTCATGTATCACCCACACCTAAAGGTCCCTGAGAAACTTTCAGAAGTCGAGGTCCAAATTATTTTTGTAATGATCTACAAGCATTGTTCTTACTGCAGGAGAGATGGCTCGGAGATTACGAGCGCACACCACTCTTGCAGAGGACCCAACGTTGGCTCCCAGCATTCACACCGAGTGACTCAGAACCGCCCGTCATTTCAGCTCCAGGGGATCTGATAGCCCCTTCTGCTCGTGATCTCTGTGGGCCCCTGCAAGCAATGCATCCCAACCTACATATAAATATCAGCAAAAGTAATATAAAATCTTCAAGAAAAAGACCAGCATCCTCTGTTTTATACGCATCTCACCTTTGCCCTGGTGGCATAAAACCAACAGAGGACACCAGCTTAAGGGACATTAGCTCAAGACAGATGACTGGGCCTAAGTCACTGTGCCGTCACTTACATGTGCATTTGCAGCACATAAAGTAACAAAGCGAACTGTAACAACAGCAAGCCCCATTTCAGACTGCCCTTGACAAGGCAGTAAACACTAGCAACAACTAGCAACAGTAACAGCTCCGGACCCCTGAGCCTTGTTTCTTTAGAAACTGTGTGACTGGATGAACAGTGCAGACGCAGTGTTTCTGCAGCCCATGAAACGCTCCGTGAAATCGCTCGCTGAACTAGCCACTTTGGGAGTCTCCCATGGAACGCTATTTTTACTTACAAGAATGACTGGCAGAGTCTTCTGAGTCAGGGGCATTTACTGGGCAGTTTATGGAAAATAAACAAAAAGAGTGGGACACAGGGCGAAGCACAGATGGTATTTGTTGGCAGTGATTGAACTGGGGCTTTCACATGAATATTAATAGTTTTGAAAACTTGGATTGAGCTCAACAGCTCCACCGGCCCTATTTTATTTTATTTTATTTTATTTTATTTTATTTTATTTTATTTTATTTTTGTTGTTTGAGGCAGGGCTCCTCTGTGTAGCCCTGGCTGTCCTGGAACTCACTTTGTATACCAGGCTGGCCTAGAACTCACAGAGATCCACCAGCCTCTAACTCCTGAGAGCTGGGATTAAAGGCATGCGCCACCACTGCCCAGGGACAGCGCCCACTTCCTGAAGGCTTCTATGATGGGAAACTGACTGGTGGTCATGCCAGTGACACGAAGTTTTATCTGCTGGACATCAGAACGCATCACGACCTGGAAGACCTGCATAAGTCAGTGAGCTGATCTAAGTGACCAGTGTGTTATGGTGTAGATCCCGGCTGGGAGACAGTACTACCCAAAGTCAGCAGACCAGTGCAATTTTGGGTTACAGAACAGGCAAGTTCACAGATATGGATGCAGATTTCATATGGCAGCTACCCCTTCAGAAGGTCCCACTGTCTGTGGTGTGTGATCAATGATGAAAATCCACCAGTATTGGAATGGACTCTTAAAATGATCCTTTCTGTTCCAACCATGTCTACATTAAACTGGCCTTTCTCCTTCAACTTCACCTGAACACCTATCACAACACAGGGGATCCAGAACAGAAACCAGGGTTGTCACAAAGTTGGACATTAAAGATTTGCACAAACTAGACAGCATCGCCCTTCCCACGCCAGTGGCTGGTTTGTGTCAACAACACACTTCTTATATAAATATGTGGTGGGTATGGAATTATTTTTAGACAGAATAAGGAGTAGTTATTTCAAAATGGTCCGTGTTAGCTTCTACGTGTCGAGTATCGCAGTGTACCTGACAGGCACTTGTTCTTGGAGTGCTGAAAAGGCCAAAAAGGTCCCAAGCTGGGGACCCATGGCACCCTGTCGCCAGGTCTACTGGCTCACACTTTCCTGAACACACATTTCCCTGCCCCCCCCCCACCATTTGGTCCCAGAGATGGTTCAGCACCAGAATTGAGTTCCTTGGAGTGCCCTAGAAGCCGTGCTCGGCTGGGAGAGACCATCTCTTCCACAGAAAATGACGAGAGGTCCTCTAAAGGCACGGAGCCCCAATTATTTCTGTTATTCAGTCTCCGAGTCCTGTCCCTTAGAGAAAAGCGTTCATGAGCTGTCTTCACGGCACTTCTGCATTCTGACATGTCACCTGGCACCCATCTGGCCAGGAAGGAGCACATTCCACGGCCATGTTTTTGCTGTTCCTCTGCCTGGACAGAGTTCACCACACGACATTGCATTTGCTCACCCAGACTTTCGAGGGCTCAGCCTCAGCCTTTACGCATCCTGACAGGGTCTTTTAGTGACTGTCAGACCTCCTTTCCTTCCCTGGGGCTGCCAGTACCCGTGACAACCTGTCTGAGCATCCGGGAATGCCAGAAGTGACAGTCCCACCTAAGATCTGTTTGCATTCGAAGAGGCTGGCATGCTCACAGCCCACCTAGGAGACACTGGCCTGGGAAGCCATAGATTCCCCAAAAGGAATCTGGGTCACGTCACATTCTGTCAATTATGTCTGAGGAAGCAAGCCCAGATGGCCCCAGCAGAAGGAGTGGACCTGGGGTCTGGGATAAAGTTCTGACACACAAGTGTGACAGTGTGGTGTGAGTAGTAGTGTGACTCTCGTTGCCTGGACACCGTCACCTTCTGTCAGTCCCTTCACCTGGCTCTTCCCGTTCGCATTTCAGGGTCTCCACTGGCGTAGCTACTTCTGCTTGTCCCACTCCATCTGCCCTGCGAGGGACCTGCTCCTGCGTGGCACTTTTGATCACAGCGTCATGTCCCAGAGAAGCTTTCTCTGAGTGGCACAACTAGGTAAACCTCCCCTTCACGGCCCCCTGCTCGCTTCACCTTTATTTCATCGAGTCCTGTGAGCTGCAGAGATGACAGACCAAATGTCTTCCTTCCCCCAGAGAGACCACCGGCCTCACGAATGTCGGGCCCACCTGTTTCTCTAGGTGTCATCTCTCCATGCTGGCAACGAGCCTGATGTATGAGGCACCTCATCCCCATGGGATGACGGTACAAGAGAGGGCGGTGTGAGAGAGCACGGGCAGGCAGTGAGAGCCTGTGATGTTCTGCACCAGGTGGCCAGCGCCTATGTCTGACTGAGAGCTAGGCCTATCTACCACGGAACCAGACAGGGTGCCGCTTCCAGTACTGCGAGCTCTCCAAAGAGAGAACGAGCCACCTGTTTCATGTAACTTGGAACTTCTGGTCCAGGAACAAGATCTGTGAGGAATCTGAGCTGGGAAGAAGTTCTAGAACGGGTGTGACTCAGCGCCAACACATCACCTGCTTGACGGAATTGCTCAAAGGAGGGATAGGATCACATTGTACGTGGGCCCTCCAGTGTACAACAAGAGGCTCTCATAATACCTTGTGCTATCACTTGGGTTAGACAGAGGCTTCATGGGGTCTAGAAAGGCAGGGTACAGCATAGGGGTTTTTGGAGGGTGCAAGAAATACGGCAGCCCATTTGCACTCTGGAGTATCTTTAGAGAGCGGAAGGTCAGGCATGCCTCTTACCAGGAAGAGATGGTTCAGGGTTGGCCTCCCTCTTCTACTTCAACCCCATCCCCCAACACCACTCAAAGCTCCCAACCACCCAGAAAAGCTCTGCTGGGATCCAGCGAAGCCAGGCATGTCCCCACACCCTCAGTTGAGATGTTGGGGTACAGTGGGAAGGGTGAGGCCTCAGGGGCTGGGGGTGGTACCTACAGTTCAGTCACGTCCTTCGGCATGCCTTTGGGGAGGGCACGGAGCCCCCTGTTGCTGCATCGCACCACAGTCTCCACACAGGTACACTGTTCGGGGCAGCGCGGGCTCAGTTGGCAGCTGCTCTCCTCGTTGCCTGCGGAGAACCCACACGGCGTGAGCCTGGTAGAAGATGAGCCCCGCCAGGAGAACAACTGGGCAAAGCTGGCTGACAGGGCCAGACTGTTCACAGCAAGGGCCAGCTCTGCCTAGCCCCAGCAGTGAGCCTGAGCCAGAATGAAAGGTAGCTACTGGTTTCTTCCACTGTCAGAGGGGAAGGACGTGTGCCTGGGAGCATGGGGAGGGACACTACCATTTACTACACTCTGTGGGAAATGAAGACCCGTCAAGCTGTTAACCCAGACCCATGGCCAGATAAGAAAGGGGCTCCTGTCTGTCACATGAGGAATAAGCCATGGCATCAAAAGAAGCAGCCAGGCAGAGGCAGAGCCCGGTCATTCTCCTCTCTGCCCACCACTATATTGTAGACCCCATAGGGTGGGAAGCTTGTCACCAGCCTCGTTATAATACACCTCAATTAATTTTGGAACAAAACCTTCTGTTCTAAGGCAAAGAAAAAATCCTAAAGTAAAGAATTGTACTGACTTGAATTCATGTAGTCAAATATGCCGTCTGGGGTCCTGAGACCCAAAGTCTGAGATTTGTGGGTTCATATCTCATAGTCAAATGGCAGGAATTTTCATGTACCATTGGTACATATTCTGACTTTTATCATAACATAGACAGGAAGAGCTCCCTGCCCAGTTGTGTACCCATGTACAGTATAGAGGGGTATACCATCTAAGGGGCACCAAGCCCATCGTGGGCACTGCAGGGAACATGGCTGGTACAAAGGCATTCCTACAGAGGACAGTGTCTGGGGTCTCAGTAGCCTGCCTTGCCTTCCTGATTCACGCCCTCTCACCTTCGCAGGTGAAGTCCTGGATGGCCACGTCTTGGATGGGAATCTCCTTGAGGAAAAAGGGCTTCTGGCATCTGGGGTTCCCACTAACGATGCGGCGTTTCCTCAGCCACCGGCCGAGCCAGGCCAGGTGGCAGTTGCAGTTGAAAGGGTTGGACAGAAGATTTCTGAGGGAGAGATAGCCCGAGTGGTTACTGTCCATCCGGACCCTAGTGGAAAGCCTAGGGTCCCCTCCTGTAGCCCAGGATAGCTTTCCCTGGCCAGTGATGAGGCCTTGACATCCCTTCTTGGAGGATGCAGAATTTTTCTCTAAACATGGGGATGTCTGTTGGTGCCCTCGCCATAGCCCATGCTAATGGCTGTGTTGTTACCTCCAGCATTGACCCCCTCTGTCCATCAAGCCCCACTTGGGCAAAGCTGGCAAGGTCTGTGGGACAATTTCCTCTACTTGAGGACAGTGTCCATGCCCTCCGTCCCCCAGGAAATGCCTGCAGTTTGTGGAGCTGGGCTGTCAGTGTCCCTGACCTGGAGCTGCTGAGACTATTCCTTTTGCTGACCTGTGCCCCTTACTTTCTTCCGGTGGCATCCATACCAAGGTTATTTCTGTGACTGTCAGCAGCTGCCCACTGACTGAGTTCTGCGAGGCTGGCTTCTCTGCTGGCCTCTCCATAGCCAGAAGCCAGCTTGTGTACCACAGGCGATTTATTACTGTCTATGCAGCGACATGATAGACTGATGGGGGAGGGGACGAGGGTGGTAGCAGTTGTCACTCCGAGTGCTTGTTTCAGGCCTGGGACCATGCTAAATAACTTACCCCTCTGTCATGACACTGAGGCAGAGGGTGGACAGGGGAGGGACAGGCCACGTGACCGAAGGAGGGAGAGGTGAGAGGATGAAAGGGGGGTTCCTAGGCTGTGGAATCCAGGAGTTGCCATCGCAGAGTCCTCAGACAGGGTGTGAAGTATGAGGTCAGGGGGGCTTGGCAGCAGGGCAGAGGGACTCACTAACTGGGAGATACTGGACGGCTGGCCCCAAGCCGCCCTGCAACTTTACTTCTGTTTCAGGTGGGAAGGTGACAAGGGGTGCAAGAGCAGCTGGGGCTGTGACTTCATTTTGTCATTTCTGAGTGAAGGAGATGGGACAGGTAACTGCTCGCTAAGGACAGGGGAGGTACAGGCAACATCGTCCGCAACTGTAAAGCGAACACCCTTTGAGAACTGTCTGTCCTGAGACCTGGCCGTGCAGATCACGCTGTCAGCAGGACCAGTCCTCGCAGCAACCACAGGAGGTGAGCTGTGCTGGGAGAGATCGGATGCACTGAGATAAAGAAGCAGTCCCAAGATGCCACAGCCGAGGAGAAGAAGCTAGGATTCGAACCTGGGAAACATGGCCTTACAGTCAACAACCACTGTCCTATGCTGCCCCCGTCCTTGGAAGGACTCCTGCAGAGTGCTCCTTACAGGGGACTTCTTTGGCAGAGTGCTCACTGACAGGCCCAGAAAGCTGGGCTCCAACTCTGGCTTTGATAAACACCAGCGTAGACAGCATCCCCTTTTAAATGCCACTGTTGATCACACCATAGCAAAGCTTCCATGGCAAAGCTTCCATGTTTGTGGTGTGCTCTGAAAACTAAAGCATCCCTGCGGCCATGCAGTTTGACCCTGGTCTCCTCTCTGGTCCCATCTTACACAGCATATTCAGCTCAATGGCCTTGTTGGGCTTCACCTATTTACTCTGCTCCAACCAGCCACAGGGCCTTTGCATGACTGTTCCTGCTAAAGAAAATGCATTCCCCCTTTTCTTCAACAAACTAATCCTCCCTACTGTGTCTCCACAAAGCTCGTGTTGGACGTTCTCATCATGGGGACTATGCACTGTGCTACGAGCCCCAGGGAGGAGGAGCCGGGTCTATAATCCTTAGTACTTAGATGGTATCCGGCACATAGGGGGGAGCCTGACAGATGTCTATTAAATAGATGGGCAGGTGACCTTGGCCCCAGTCTGGGGAGCTGAGATAGCAGGAAATTCTGCAGGGAGGGGCCCAGAGGACATGGGCCGCACGCCTGGGGGCACTCACATGGTGGACAGGGAGACGAGTGTGGTGAAGGCTCCAGGGGTGATGGTGGTGATCCGATTGTCATAGAGCGACAGAAGTCTCACCGAGCTGAGGCCGGCGAAGGTGTCATTGCTCACACAGCTGATCAGGTTGCTCCTGAGCATCCTAGAAGAGGGTGGGAGAGGGTCATGGGTAGTGTTCTCACCTCTCAAAAGGTAAACAGCCAGTCACTGTTCAGGCTTGGCTGATGATGTGCAGGGGCCTGGACCCTCACTGACCAACACCAATGTATATGAATGTGTATTTCACACCTTGTGTGGCGGTTTGAGTGAGAATGGTCCATATAAGGCTCCTATGTTTGAATGCTTGGTTCCCAGTTGGTGGAACTGTTTGGGAGGGATCAGGAGGGTGAGCATTTTGGAGGTGTGTCACTGGGGGTGGGCTTTGAGGTTTCCGAAGCCCATGTCATTCCAGTTGGCTCCGTTGTTCTGCCTCACCCTTGTGGATCAGATGTAAGCTCTCAGCTACTGCTCCAGCTCCATGCCTCTTTACCTGCCACCACACTCCCAGCCACGATGGCCATGGGACTCACCCTCTGAAACTCTGAGCCAGTCCCAATGAAATGTTTTCTTTTAGAAGTTGCCTTGGTCATGGTGTCTCTTCACAGTCATAGTAACTGAGACGCATCGTCAACACAAACCAAGGCTATCCACATGCACCTGTACAGATGGTATGGCTGTCAGTGTGTATGCATGTGTACTTCCAGGAGGAAGAGGAGCCACAGATGAGGTCAGTGTATGAATATGTGCTTGAACGTGGATGCTTGCTTGCAGATGTATTTGGGATATATCACGTGTTTCTGTGTTGATGAGTAATGGGCGCATGAGTGCCTGTGTGCATCCCTCACTATGTTTCTGGCAGGAATATGCACATAAGGGGGCTCTGAGTGGGATGTGCTCAGGTGTATGGGCATGCTGGTGGGATCAGCATGTCAGTTTCCTTGCATTAAAAGTGGGAAAGTCTGATGCTGTAGAGAGGAAGGGACCCACAAGGCCAGGATGGCGCCTGACTTGGCTCCATGTCCACAGCCTTCACAGTCCAGCCCTCACTCCCCTAACTTCTGCCTCCCTGCTCTGGACCTGAGCCCAGGTCTGGGTACTTACAGTGTCTTGAGGCCACTGAGGCCCCGGAACATGCGTCCATGCATGGTCTCCAGCTGGTTCCCCGTCAGCATCAGCTCCTGCACGCCTGCTGCTCCATCGAAGGCACCCTCTCGCACCTCCTTGATCCTGTTGTTGCTCAGGTTTCTAGAAGGAAGGGGTAGAAGCAGGAGAATGAGGTAGGTGGCGGTTTCTCAGCCTCCAGTTCCCTGACGCTGGGTCCTCAGCATCTGTGCTCTGGGACAGGGAGGCACTCCTCGTAACGGGTGGAGTAACACACACAGTCCAAGGGTTAAGGGGTTTCCAGTGTAATCACTTATTGGATGCTCTGGGAGATTCACTATTATTTCTTCTCTTCAATCAGGGCTCTCACTGAGCAGTGGTCCTCGAAGGAGGGATGGAGAAAAACAGAAAGCAGCTCCCCAGTGGGGGTGAACTCATTTGAGGGGCTTGTAGGTCTCTCAGCAGAAGCCCCTCACAAGTGGATACTTCTACTTTGGAGAGGCCAACCATCGTAACCTCATCAGACTCTCAAACAACACCCAATATGACTGTCTGATTTTATGGCTAAGGAGACTGGGTTCCAGGATAATTGCATAACATTCCCAGATTCACACAGCTGAAAGAGCTGGATTATGAATCTAGACTTTCTGGGACACGAGGAAACAACCCATCCCTTTCCTATGTGATTATTTCTCTGGAGGTGTGAGGACTCATTGCCTTGTATAACTGAGTTGCAGGATTCAAGTTGGGAGGTTTGGGTTGTGTGTGTGTGTGTGTGTGTGTGTACATGCACACTCACGTGCATATGTATACACGTGTATGTGCTAAGGCCAAAGGTCAACATCAGGCATCTTTCTCAGTTGTTCTTTGCTTTATTTTCTGATGCATGGTTTCTCGCTGAATCTGGAGCTTGCCTGATTCAGGTAGAATGACTGGCTAGTGAGCCCCGGAGATCCTCCTGTCTCTTCCTCCCCAGTTCTAGGATTAGAGGCACATGCTGCTGCCCTTGGATATACATGGATGCTGAGGATCCAACAGGTCTTCATGAGTGAGCCGTAAGCACTCTACCAACTGACTCATCTCCCCAGTCCTGGGATCTTGGTTTTCTCACAGCACCCTTATTCCTTCCCAGCCCTAGTGCTGCCATTCCCGAGTACACCGTGATCTGAGAGCAGACCCTGTTCTCTGAAATCTGGTGTCCACAGCATGGGAGACCATACTAGGACTGTGACAGCAGGCAGATTCCACACAGCCATGGAAAATTCTAGTTCCCAGGGTTCTTTCAGGAGTCAGAAGCAGGGATTCTCTGGACCATTCTGTGGTCCAGGCTGAAGGCACACATGGTTTTCTGGATGGAACTAAGCCTGGTGATATTCCTACTGTGGACAGGAAGCTCTGAGGATGTTGCTGACTCACTGAGCATGTGAGTTTGGCTGAACTGCTGGGCTTGCAGACACTGGCCATATGCCCAGACCTCTTGGTAAGGGTGGAAACTGCTTCATGCCAGAGCCTTGAATGGATATGAGGCCATACAAACCCTTTCACAGAGCACAGGGATGAAGCCTGCCAGATGGACAGGGGACCAATTTGAAGCACATGGTAAAATAATGATACCCAAGGGTCCAATGTTAGACACTTGCCTTTCCCATGGGTGGCCCGGGCACTCTGGGAACAGCAGTGCCAACCCCAGTAGACAGCTGTAGAGGCAACAAACTCCAGCTGATCCATCTTTTAAATCATCTTCTCTTTGTTCTTTCTCTGCTCCCCAACCCCTTTCTCTCCTGCTTAAACCCCTGAAGTCCCTCCCCTAAGGCCTGTTAGCTGGAGCACTCCTGAACCGGAATCCATTTCTGTGATAAACTAGTACTCAGCCTGTCTCCTTACCAGTTCCGATAGTCCTGGTCAGGGACAAGCCAGTAATGGAGGGAGTGAATGGGGGACACAGCATAGGACCCCCAAGCTAGATGTAGGAACTGAGGTCAAGGCTTTCCTAACAGGGTGAGGTTCCGGGGTGGGAGGCTCCTTGGGGATGAGCAAGCAGGAGGACTGGACGATGAAGATAGAGTAGTGGGGGTGGGAGGGCCATTCCCTGACATCTGTTTCTTCAGCAGAGCAAAATTAGCATCCCATTGCTGTGAGGTTTGTGAAGTGCATGTCCTTGGTTGGGGAGAATGAGAAACAGAAGTGGGGTGGGGGTGTGGACATAGGGCTTTCCATAAGTACTGCTGTTACCTTTCTATCCATCGAAGCTGGGCTTACCCCTGAAGTCTGGAGTGGAGGGTGGGGAACAGAGTGTAGCTTGGAGCAAATATTCTGGAAAATGTGTGTGTCTGGATTTTCTAAGAGCTCGGATGTGGTCCCAGTGCAGAGTCTCCCTGTGATGCGTCTGCTTCCAGGAAGACTCAGAACACAGATGCAGTCAGTTAGTGGGTTCTCTCCCTTCGTCTCCACAGACCTATCTAGAGAAAGGTGCTTTGAGGGCTGAAGAGATGGCCCAGAGGGTAGGAGCACTGGGTCTTCTTCCAGAGGTCCTGAGTTCAATTCCCTGCAACCACACGGTGGCTCATGTCCATGACGAGGAGATCTGGTGCTGTCTTCTGGCTTGCAGGCCAGAAGACAACATGCAGACAGAACAACATAATAAATAAATAAGACAAAGGTGTTTTTTTTTTTTGTTTTTTTTTTTTTTGTGGCTCTGACTTCAGAGGCCTCATACACAGGCTGCTGTGTGACCCGGACTCCATACTCCCCGAAGAACACAGAGGCACACAAAAGGATTGATAACAACGCCAGGCTCTCCTAGGCCACTCACTATTCCCTGGAGTTACAGGGTCAGCCAGCTACTCCTGCAGTGGGGATGGAGCTACAGTCCTGTTTAAGCTCTGTCCCAGGAGGAATGCATCAGAGAGCCAAGGGTCGTTTCTGGAGGCTTAGGACAATGGGCCATGCCTGAGCATATGTTCGGGCACACTGCTAGGATGAGGCAGTTCTGTCCATGGACCAAGAGCCTGTCCCTCCCTGAAGGACTACTACAGGCTTAGGTATTCACGGGTTCCAGGCAGGTGATTTAATGGTGATGAGAAGCAGGTCCCTTGAAACAAAGGTGACCAGGACCTCATGTCCATCTAAGGGAGTGGTTGCTGTTCTGCTTGACTCTACTGGGCCAACCTCAGATTATGGGGCCAGTTCTGCCAGGACATCTGATAGCCCAGAGGTACCAAAAAGCGAAATCTTATGGTTTCTGTGAAAGCTCCTTGGTTTTAAAAGTGGGAAACTAATTCTTATTAAAAAACATAGCAAGTAGCAACACATCCAGCCATGTGCCCATGGCTTGCTAGAGGCTGGCTGGTTTTCAGACTATGTATGGGTGTGTCTCCTCAGCATCATAACTGGGCTGAAGTTCACAGCAAGGAGATCCACAGCTCTGAACATGGAGCCCCTTTTTCTCTTCTCCTTCCCCCTTCCCTCCCTCCTGTCTTTCTACTCCCCTTCCCAAATCTCGCTGAACTAGGGGCGGTTCCTCAGGGCTGCAGGAATGCTAGACAAGCGGCTGCAGCCGGGGGCCTGGGGCTGGATTCATCCTGTGGGGTCTTAGTCAAGTGATTGGTACTGATTAGTGCGTGGCTACACATGCCCATATGCACACATGCATACATGCCACACATGGGGACACACATACAGAGACACGTACACACACAGATGGATACACACACACATGGACACATCATTTGGACACACACAGGGACATACAGACACAAACACATACACGGATGGACACACACAAACATACAGTACACAGATGCACACGTGGACACATACACGAACACATAGATGCACACACACACATACACACACACGTGTGCAAGGACATACACAACGATTGTCTTTCATGGAGTGACCTTCCCCCAACCCACCTGCAAGGCTGCCGCTGGCTCCTGGCTCTGCTCCCTGCTTAAATTTTAAACTCGAACAAGTCACTGAACATTATGTCTCCGTTCCCTCAGGTGTGGAACGAAGTAATCCCAAAGCCTCTGGTTTTGCTTCGTGAGGGTAACATTCAGCAAACACTAGAACTTTCTGGTACAGTTAAGTGTTGACTGCTGGCTAATGTTGGTTCTATCATGATCACCAGAGCCTTCGCAGCCTTGTCTCACCTTTGCCCTACTCCTCAGGCTCCCCAAACTTTCTGTGCAGAACTGTCTACATATGGAACTGGATACTTTAGGTTACTCGGCCCACTGGCACTGGATTCTGGCATCGTCTCAGGCCGACACCTTCCATCCTTATTTCTTCCTCTTTGTCTGCTTTGGTTTGTGCACTACTGGGAGTTGAACCGGGGTCTTGTGCGTACGAGGCAGGCACTAGTTTTCTGAGCAGCACCTTGTCACTCATCATCGCTCACAGGAAGAATAAATTTATTCTCATTACGCAAATGATGAAACTAAGGCCCCGCCCCCAGAGGGTCTCCTAGGACCACATAGTGGACAAGGACAAAGCTGAGCTTGGGTCAATGCAGGCCAGCCTGCAGGTTCTTCCCTACACCTGAATGTTGAGCTGGCCAGGAGCAGCAGGGGATATCTGGCAGCCCCAACTTCCACTCCTGTATAGCAAAGAAAGGGACTAGCTGAGTGGCATCTGTTCCTTTGGTTGAGATCTGGGCTTGCGTTTGGCCACGCTCAGGTTGCATGTGGCTGAGGGTGGGGACCAGCTGCCTCCTGTAACACATTCATATTCTTGTTTCCCTCAGCCTGCAGCGCTATTTCTCTGCGCTCACATCCCCATCGCAAGTGGGAACACAATTTGTGTGACTTTCACCGAAAAGGCGTGTATGGGGGACTGTCTTCTTTGCAGAAGTGAAGACTCCTGGGAATCTGTTTGCGAGGCAAATCGGTACTGGTGCAGCCTGATTCACTTCAATACCTTCCTCTCGCCTATATTAACCTCCACATCTGGTTAGAGATGGGAAGGACACATCCAAGTGGTTGCTAATTGTGCTGGGTGCCAGAAGCTCATGGGTGCTGGGCCACAGTGACAGCCTTACCAACCTGACATGTGCCCTGGTCTCTGCCATCCCCTCAGAGAGCTAGCTCATCTCCTGTTTACAGGGGCCTGTGGCTCAAGGCAGTGGCTGGAGTCAGCAGGGACACTCGTGCGGTGCCACTGAGAGAGCAGCTGCATGGGGCCTAGAAGGCGTCTGTTCCCTTGGCTGCAGGGAACCAATGGGGAGAAATATGATGAACAGGAAATGAGGAGTTAGAGATAATCCTCATGATTCATGATTGTTAAATTCTCTATCACCAGGAACGCTGAACGAGCACACACTGAATCGCTGCTCCCGGGAACACTAGACGAGGCTCCTGTGAGCCCCTGGCCATGGTATTTCCATCAACCGATCAATAATAAGCTTGTTCTGTGAATGCTTTCTGCTCAGACACTGTATTTACTGTACTATTGATCCATCAACATGGTACACATGGCCGGTAGTGCCTGGCTCACGCCTGAACAAATGCACAAAGCTTCTCCACAGCACATGTGCCCTCAGTGAGGCACAGGGGAACCCTCTCAGGCTTTGGTTATCTAGACAGTGTGCCAACACTGTGCTTGGGCCAAAGCTGGCACTAAAAAAAGCACAAAACTGTGAAGCCCATGCCACTGGGTAAACTGTAAAGTGGATGCTCGCTTACAGCTTGAAGCTGAACCCGGAAAGCAGAGCATCACCGTGTTCAGCCCCAGCTGGGAATGCGTGTCCCAGTTAAGGGATGCATGTTGGGGTGAGTAGGGCTTTCACTACCATATGTGTGGAAATGACACAAACAGCTTGAAAAGTTGTAATTTTAAAGTTCTGTGACTTTTGGTACAGAGATGAGTTAGTAAACATGGAATTGGTAAGTAGTGATGGACTGCCTTTAACTTGTTGAAGAAACAGACACCGCCTCTGTGAGGCTGGGAGAGATGGGATATGGGGTGGGGTAGGAAGAATGGTTAAAGACAAGTATGCCCTGGGAGTCAGATGGTGAAAAGCCCGCCCTGTCCATTCTGGCACTGCTGCGGAGACACTAGAAGGGGTGAGGCGGGGAGCGAGCCTGACCACACGGGTAGGACTGAGGTGGGCCCATTCTGAGAGCCAGTTTTGACATGTAGTCAGTATGTGGCCTTAGGGAGGCCACTGAACTTCTCTGAGCTATGGTTCCCTCACCTGCCCAGCACAGAACATGAAGCCAGCACAAGATGGGTGAAGGAAGACTGAAGAAATGGGTACCTGTGAGGCAGGCATGCAGTCCTGGCTAAGGACAAGGGCTATCACAGGGGACAGCATCCTTCTTGCTGTCTTTATGACACGGCCCTGGCTCCTAGGGAGGGAGACAGAGGGCCGGGACAACAAGGAGCCATGCACTGCAGAAGCCAGTAACAGCATACAGGCCCTTTGCCTAAGCCCAATCTCTACATGGACCAGGGGACTCTGTGACCAAACTTATTGAGAACAGCTGGAGATTCCCTCCTGATGTGCCCGTTCCATACACACCTCACCCAAATTCCAAGTATCACAGGGTCCCAGATACCCCTATTCCATTGCTGTTCCAGATCCAAGTACCCCCTCAACCTTCTAAAGTCGGCGCTGAATGTGGACTGGAGGCTGCGACAAGTAGAGGGGGCAAAGGAAAGGAGGCAAGGAGGTGTGGAGCATATGATGACAACCTGATGAGAGTCAAGCCTATGTCTTTCTGCGCTGTGTCCCTGGTTTCCAGGGCAGGACACAGCAGGGGACAGCAGGAGGTGCAGGGGCAGGAGTGAAGGGCGAGGGCCCAGGAAGCTGAAGTGGCTTCCGCACCCCATCTTGACTTACATTTTTCGCAGGTTAGGCAACTTCTTGAAGATCCCAGTGGCCTCCAGGACGGAGATGTCGTTGTCATTCAGTCGCCTACGTGGGAAGCCAGAAGAAGCAGGGCTCAGCCTTCTCTGCTCGTCTGCCACTCTTCCTCACACGGCTTTGGCTGAGCTCTGCCTCAACTGCATATTCAGTAAAGCTCAACAGAATCATGAAAAAAACGCCAGTATGAGGTGAGGGGCTCGGCAGGGAGAGTTCGATGGGAAAGGGCAGGAACACTCTAAATCTAAACCTTCCCATGCCTCCTTCATGGGATTGTGGCTTCTTACACACTTCACATAGACACACATTGTATTTTAAACACAGTCAAATACCAAGTTTCTGGTTCCATTTTATGGGGGTACCAACGGTAACCTGAACCCCCAGGGAAGTTCCTCAGGATCTCCTGAGCCCAAGCATATCTCTTCCTGATGACTTTTATGGTCCGAGGGGGCCCAGGGTCCCTGCACCCAGCACCTCTGTGCTCAGAGCCTCCTGTGCCCTCCAGTGACAAGAACAGTCACAGAAAGCACCCAGAACCACAAGTCTGCCACTGCGTATGCAGGGCTCACGCTGTGCCAAGAGTCAAGAGAAATAGTATTAGGCTTGTGTCCCCCTTCTAGACCTTCTGAAGTGTAGAGGGAGACATTATCCCCCCTGCTTCTCCCCACCTCCCATCACAGCTGGGAACCTGGATTTCAGATCTGAGAGGCATCTTGGCCAGTCTCAGGGAGGCTGGAAGGAAGAGAAGAGGTAAATGTCAGGTCTGGTTAGCCTCACAGGCCATCCTTCAGCCTCTATCACGCTTCAAGTTTTACCTTGTCCCTCTTTAGACCTTGGGAGATGGTTTGGAGGTTCTATCAGGAAGGTCATCCTCTGTAGCCAAGTGTGACACTTCTGGGGGTACACATAGGGAGTAGTGAAGGAGGGTGGGGACACCCACCTAGCTGGCCAGATGGGCAGAATATACCCTGATGATCACTGGGATGATGGATGTTGTAGCCAGATTGCCCAGTTTTGGATAAACCAATGCACCTTTCTAGCCTGGTTATTAGGTGGTTTAGATACATTTAATCATCTTAGTTTGTATTTTTGCCTAGTCACAATTTTTATTTAATATCTAGTTTTCTGGCAATACTGTTAAGTATCTAAGGGCCAGCAGGTGCCATTTGCTTTGTTCACTGTAGGAATGCAAGCCTAGAGCAGAACCTGGTTTACAATGAGCCTTCAGAACCAACAAATGGTCTTTACTTGCAAGCAGCCTGCCCATGTATGCCTGGGTGTCTTTCTCAGCCAAGCATACAAAGAACCCCATTCGGGTTAACTCAAAGTGGCTTAGTTATGGGTAAAGAGATGTAGGCAGGGGAACAGTGGGGTGGGACTTACAGGTCAGTGGTATACTCGGGGAGGTGGCTTGGGATGCGGGCCAGCTTCTGGTTGGAGCAGTCCACAATGGTGCCCTCGCAGCGGCACTTCTCAGGGCACACGAGGTCCATGAAACACTCACTGCTGAATCTGTTGCGATAATCCTCAGAGCCTATGTGGGGCCAAAGAGGGGGTTGTCATCATCATTTGGGTTTCCTGGCACAGGGTCTAAAGTTGTCGGGACTGGAGGTGGGGAGTGAGGTGGCTGGGTGAGTTGGGAGGTAGAGGTGTGTGTGCGTGTGTGTGTGTGTGTGCACGCTTACGTGCATATGGGAACGCAGGTTTGGGAGAAACTGCTTATAAGGTGCAGAATCAAATACCGGACAGTAATGACGACCATTTGGCCACTCTCCACACCCCACATCTACATGTTTCCCACACAATCTTTTGTCATTCATCACTTTCTGTCGTTCAAGAAGCCAGGCTTCAGATCCGTGGGCTCTCTTATGCGTTTATGGGTCATGAACCTTTTGAGAAGTTGATTAACGTTACATATGCTCTGTTCGGAGAAATATCACAAGACACCTACACAGAATCCAACCTACAGTTGTAGGAGATTCTTGGTTCCATGACGCTTGCCATCTACAGACTGGAGACTTTTGTGGGGGGGCCACTGGTGGGTAGAACTAAGGTACGAGAAGGGGTCACATACTTCGAGGTCTTCCTGGTCTTTCAAAGGAGGCCAGTTTCTCATTTGGTGCTAAATGACCACCAGCATCCTACCTGACTCTGACTTCAATGAGGGTGGAGCACTAGGGCACCCGGAGCCCACAGTGCGGATGCTTTGGGAATCCGGCTTACAAATCTGCCTGAGATTTGTTTTTTTGTCTTAGGAGAAGCCAGATATTAAAAACACACTGGCAATGAATCCAGTTCTTAAACACAGCGAAAACAAAATGGAGCCAGGGTCAGACCTGACTTCCGCATAGAGGAAGTTCTCTTTAATGCCAGTAAAAGGCCAGTTCCCACGAGCGAGAAGCTGGAGCTAAGATTTATTCTTTTCAAGATTTCATTTCTTCCAAGGTCATTTGGTGATGGCAACAGACCTGACAGACTGACGTCTCTGAGACATGCCCTTGGGGCCAGCCAGCCAGACCTCTGTGAGCACATGAATTATGCTAGTGGCAATGGGGAAGGGCACGCGGCTCTCCTGACGTGAGCGTGTTGTGCGGGGGTTATCACACTCTCACACCCACATTTCATCAGCGCATTGCCAGGTATACAGTGTGAGCTCGCTTCACGTTTCTCAAGGCACAAGTGGAATGCCGCCAGCACCTGAGGATCCCGTGCTTATTTCCGAAGTGTTTCAGCAAGGGAACACTGCGTGTTTGGCGAATGGCTTGAAGTGTTTTCACGGCGCCACGGAGTACGCGCAGTCCCTATGTTGTAGGGTGCATTTGGTCAGGCTTGGCAACTTCCTAGCTCCTATTTCCCAGGGGGTTGGGTGGAGATGGGAGTTATACCAGAGGCAGAGTCTCCAGGAAAAGGCAAGCACAGTATGCACACGTGTGATTCTACTCCTGTGCTTCCTAGATCATGACAGAACACCTGGTAGAGGCCAGAGAAACTTCACTGGAGCTGAAGGGAGCAGCTGACAGCTAATCGCACTTGAACCAGCGGCCGGCTGCTTTTCTCCAAACTTCAAATGGGTGGTTCCTCTTAACCCCTGAGGTTAGAACGTCACATTGTAGATGAGGACCCTAAGGTCTATGGGGCTCTTAGTGCATGGCGAATGGACTAGATAGAGCTAGCTTCCAGAGACCGGCGTGACTAATACTCAAGCTAGGTAGACTAGTGTGCTTGGTGATCAAACCTTTATCCCCCACATCTCTGGCAACAGACACCAAGCCCGATGTGGTGGAGGCAGACAGAATGGGTTTCTGCTCCAGGGAGCTGGGACGATGAGGCAAGCAAATGCCCGCCTCCCTTGCTCTCATACTCTCTGCTCTCATTTATCTTCCTGTGGTCACTGCTGATTGGGAACAAAACTGGTGGGCCTCGCATTCTCAAAAGACACTATCTAGCTGAAACCTGGAGTCAGAAGTCTGGATGTATCCTTTCCGTTCCTCTCTACTCCCTTCCCACCCACTTCCTTCACCCCTAAACTTGCATAAACAGAACCTATGCATATGTTTCACAATTTTACAGCAGCTTCCTGGTCCAACGTTTTATGTCAATCTTTTTCCTGGCCTGCATGCATCACCCACTGAATAAACCCTGCACCCTTTCTCTTTAGACATATCAGAACGCTACGTTATTCTGCAACTCCAGCCAGACGAAAGTCCATTTCTGGTCTTGTCAGTGGAGCGACATGGTGGTGTTATAGGAGGGGGCATTTGGCACGTGTGTGATTATGTTTCCTTCAAAACAGGTCTGCCACGGGATACTTGCAAAACGGAGGAACCCTGATGACCGAGCAAAGGCAGCAAGCCAGGAGGGAGCCCAGTTTGCACTTCACTGTGAGCCTGCAGACGTGCACTGGCTGGGGACGGCCGCCTATTAAATGCATTTTCATTTTAATCAAGGTGAGAGCAGTCTGTAGTTAGCAGGAATCGCTCTCAGTAGTATCGTTAGGTTATAACTGGCAGACCTCGGCAGTGGAGCTGCTGACCCATTTTAATGAAATGATTTTGCAATTAGATTCGATGGACTAATGTGTTCTCTCCAGCATTTCCTCCCCCCCTGCTGTTTTGTTATTGCCCTGGTTTGTAATAACGAGGGGGTCGGAGAGTGATATTTTATATGAGTGGGAACCAGAAATGTTAATAACAGCGTATGTACATAACCGAAAAAGTTCACTTCCCAGTCAGAGCCAGCCCGAAATGCCACCTCCGTCACTTCATATTTCATTACGGAAGCTACCCAGGGTGCCTCGGAGCCATTTGTTATGCCTAATGCTCATAACTACCCAAAAGTATTTTTAACTTTTCCCGAGCTTTAAAAGTCAATTTCAATCTCAATGCGTATTTGTCACTGCCAGAAATACTTCAGAGGAGAGGACCAACTGAAATGGGTTGAAGCTCCTCCTCCTTGGGGTGAGCTCAGATGGGAGGGATCTCGTAGGGTTTGGAGACAGGCCATAAAGGTCGATCCCTGCTGGAGTGGGCCTCGGAGGAGCCGACATCACCTAGCTTTTGCCTGCCTCTGCCCTTGGAGACCTCTTCCCCACCTGTGGACATCTCAGAACGACAACACGCGGTACACAGTCATAGACAAACTTTAATAGGCAGAGGTTGGGTGAAAGGTGAAAGTCGACAGCAATTTTTTAATCTTATTTTATTATATAGCCTTGTTCTACATCTGTGTCTGGGAGGGGAGTGTGAAGCATCTCAAGTTCATCGTTATCTGGTCAGTAGGGGAAGCCAGCGTATGTGTCCAGAGTTCTCCTCCTCTATCCCAAGCCCCCCCAAGATGGGTGAGATGAGGAAGAACCTTAGAAAGAGGAGCTGGGGTGCGAGTGTTCAAAGGTCTGTCAGGGCTTATCAGCTTGAAAAGAAGGAAAGGGACAAGTCACGAGTGTGAACGGAACAAGGACACTGCACACATAGAGACGATACAGACATCCATTCCTAGGCCATGCTGGGGGAACCAGACATCTGTGGTCGAGAAACACTAGCTGTTTTAGAACAAGTGTGGCTATCATTTGGGCATGAAGCTGTCCCTGTATCTCAGTCACCTGCCTGAAAACAGAGGGAGAACCCCCTGATACAGCCACATGCCTACTGCCAAAGCATCGTGGAGATGCTGAGGAAGGGTGCTATCACGGACTCATTCCCAAAGGCCTGGCCCTCGCCTGAGGTGGGCAGTGCTAGGAATGCCTCCTCTGCAACAAGGGGAAGGATGCTTCTCCATGTAGGAGGGTTTGCTTGTACCCATGGTATCTTGTATGGTCCTGTTGTAAAAGAAGGGCCACTTGGACAATGCTTTCTTTCCTTTTTACTCAAGTCATTTCTAAGAGCAGATGTAAGCTGGAAAGAGAAGGTGAAAACCACCTCCAACTCCATATCAGTTCAAGTCAAAGTTTCCCAAAATTTTTCTTCACAGGCAAAGAGTGTCCAGAAGAGAAAGGGCTTGACAGCACTCAGGCAAAGCACAGCCAGTTGGGAGCTATATTACCCTGGGTCAGGTTAATAGCCTGTCTCAACACCTTTCCCAAGGACAATGGCACGGGGTTTTGATCCTACTTCATGTTCTGGCTTTGTGGGAGCCTGGCCAGTTTGGATGTTCACCTTCCTAGACCTGGGTGGAGCGGGGAGAACCTTGGACTTTCCACAGGGCAGGGAACCCTGACTGCTCTTCGGACTGGAGAGGGAGGGGAAGAGGAGTGGGGGGAGGGGGAGGGGTGGGAGGAGGGGGAAGGGAAATGGGAGGCTGGGAGGAGGCGGAAATTTTTTTTTCAATAAAAAAAATAAAATAAAATAAAAATTAGGGTGATGGTGTCAAGCATCCAGAGCCTGACCAATAGTAAGAACTCTATGTATGTTCAAAAGGTCAGCGGGACTAATAGGACACTCATTACTACTCATCAGTTCCTGGGGCCCTTCTCTGAGTCTCCATCAGAGAGAGGAGATAGTTAGAACTACACAGCCTGGTGGCCACACAGAATTTGGCTCCTACCGTTACATAGGGGTTTATTTCCACCTTAGTTCTTACTCATGGAGTAAGACACAGGCTTCAGCACGAACCTGCAACAAAGTCTTCTGGTTACACCAGGCCCAGGATTTATCAAGAGACAAATTAAAGAGAAGGTGCCAAGATCCCTCTCTCTGTCGTCAGAGACAGCCATTGTCTGCACAGACCTCTCCTGGCCACTGACACGGCACCAGATGAAGGGTCCCCCACCTCCATGTTAATTGTGCTCCAAGGTTAAGAAAACGTGTTGGACACCGGGTTTCAGCAGGATCTATAGCTAAGCATTCACGAGGGGTGAAAGCTGGGGTCAGAAGGAGACCCAGTTCAAGTTCAAGGTCTCAGGCCCGGGTTGCTTCTATCTGTTCTCATGCTTACATTCGTTTCAAATGAAGTGCATGCCAAGAGAGGTGCTGGTCAAAGTCATGAGCAGGATGACCGATCCTCTGCATTAGCTACCACTCAGTGACCTTGTGCTGGGAGTCTCCCATGAAACAATGGGGCCTAAGCCGTAGGGACACACGTCTTCTTCAAATGGGGAGTTGGAACCTGGCTGTCACTCCTGGAATCACATGAGACCAGATCTTGGGGGGGGCACAGTGACTTCCTTTGCATAAGATTTGTGGGATACTCTTAGCATGGCCCCAATGGTTTTTTTTTTTTTTTTTTTTAATAAACCCCTGTCACCATATCCCTGACTCCTTCAGGATTACAACCCCCATCCCTCTGGGAGTCAAGACTGGGAGAGGAGGGTCTGGCAGGTGTGGTGATCCAGAGCAGAGAAGAGTCCAGCGGTGGTGGTGGTGGCGGCGGCCATGCTGCAGGAGAGAACGGTGCTTTCCGCGGTGCTTGACAGAACCATGTTCCGTTTCCATCGTTCCACCACATGGTTAGATCAAGCACAAAGGAAAGCCCCGCGGCAACTGGTCAGAGTCAAGGTCAGGAAGCAGGCATCAGAGAGAGGACAGGAGCTCAGAGGAAGCAGCGTGGAGAAGCAGGAGCCAGAGCAGGCCTCCACTGAGCGGGATTAGTACCAGTAGTGCGTTCCACTGGATCCTGCCAAAGACAGGGGCCCCACCTCCCTGTGCCCTGCCCCAGGGAGACTCAGTAGGACAGAGGGACAGAAGGGAAGCCATCAGACACTCACAGCCAGGAGCATCCTGGCAGACAACACACCAATGACATATTGACCCCGGACTGAGCCTGTGAAGCCTACCCTGTCCCACCGTGTGATCTGACAGGACAGGAAAATCAGCAATGCATCTTCTCACGCTTTGCGACACAGGGCCGACCCTGCAGCTGAGGGCCCTCGTGGCAGTCTATGGTCTTTAAGAAAAAGCGATTTCCCATAGTTCTCAATGATCTAGCATAGCATAACCTCCTCTTCAGGCAAAAGCACCCTTTAGCATCCCACAGCTCGGAGGCTCCTGAGTACCTTGCAGGAACCTCAGACCCCTTGGGCTGATAGCCAGTTCACCCGCAGATGGTTTGAAGGGTAGAGGGGGAGTGTAAAATTAAAACCACACATTCTCAGTCAGATACAGAAGGGGGACTCAGTGGAGCCGCAGGATTGGGAACGAGACACTGGCAGTCACCATGGTCAGAGAACACAGTCACGAAAGTCGGGCTAGTGTACGGACGTTAAAGGCTGGCTTCTGAAAACGGGTCTTTGTCAGAGTAAGACAAAGAAGGAAAGGTCAAGAGAACCCATTGATTAGCTGGAGGATAAGATATCTAACTTTAGGATCCTTCTGGTTTCTATACCCCTTCTCTGGCTGGGAATCATGGGAGAGGATGAGGTAGACCCAATCTGGTGGTCTTGTGTGCCACGGACCCAACCTTTATCTGCCATCTTTTATATGTTCTTTCTACTTGGCGTCAGGCTTGAGTTGTGCATATCTCAAAGAAATAGAGCCATAGCCAGGTGACACCTGACCTCTGACAGGCCGGACGGGTCACTCTCCGCTACCATATGTTCTGAGGACTGGTCCAGTGACAAGATGTTCTCAGCATCTCAGCACTCTGTGGGTTGTTGTCTGCAATGATGGTCCAGTGAGATACTATAAACCCGTGTCCTTGCCTAGCGCCATTCATCTCTCTCCTTGTCCCCATCTTACAGACTACAATAATAGTAATGTGGGCTCTACTGCTGGTAAGATGGGCCAGTATGTGGCATGTGCTACCAAGCCTGGTGACGTGAGTTCGATCTCCAAGCTCCAGATAGTGGAAGAACAGACTCCTGAAGGTTGTCCTATGATCTCCATACTTCTGCTATTCCTTGTTGCGCCATGCTCTCTCTCTCTCAACAAGTAAAATGTAATTTATAAAGTTCCTTCTGGGTCTTCTTCTTGCTTTGCTTTTCTAAAAGGACATGGAAGGTCCCAGAGGCAAATGAACTGGAATCTTCCTAGTATGCTAAAATCATTATAGTGTCTTAGGTTGTGTCTAAAAAAAAAAAAAAAAATCACAGCCTGGACTTTTTTTTTTTTTTTCTGCTGTGGTTCTCAATTTTGTTTCTAGAGTGGACTGGATGAACTCTGAAATCTCTAAAGTGCCCCTGAGCGATACCCAAAGAGTCCTGTCCTTTCCAGAAGAATGGCTTCTCCCTAAAGGGGCCAGCCTGACAGAAGACAGGCAGTGTCCTCCAGCTGCCAAGTGCTCCCCAGGTGGGCCTGTGCTGAAGGACTTAATTGGCTGTTAGATCACCCCTGGTGGGCAGCATCCACTCCTAAACAGATCTCGGTCCAGGGCGATGGATGCAGCTGATAGAGGCAGAGCAAAGAGGCTGGGAAGCCAGATGCCCTACCCAGGGAGAGGCTGTGTGCACTGCAGAAACGGCCCTCAAATGGGCTCCTAATCACATCAGCCGTCTTTTCAAGGGGGCTGCTTTTAGGGGAAAGTAAAACACAGAGTTATTATCTGTCAGCTCGAGTCTGTGTCATCTGCCACCCCTCCCCTCTCTGGAGCTTTATGGAAACACAAATCTTCAAGGCTATGGGTTCTGTATTCCCCAAAGCCAAGGTACGGGTCCTGGTGTTTCTCAAAGCCAAGGCTTTTGCAGCTCAGTGGCAACCTTGCTGCTTTCCCCCCATGGCTATATAAAAGCATACCAAATGTTCTAAGCCAAGCTCATGTGGACTCTGGACATCACTACCTCTACAGGAATAGGCTTTCCACTTAGTATTTTTTAAAATGTTATTTTAGACAAAGTCAGCTCAAGAGTTCTGCCCTCTTCTCCCCATTTCTTTATCCTTGCCACCCATTTCTGCCCCGCATAGGAAGCCAGGATCCTGTAAACACCAAGGTAGATGGGTAGACATTGGTACAGTGAGATTTCAAATCTAGCTTTATTGTTTCCCAGTTCCAATGTCTATTTCTCGTTCCCTACTCTGTTCTTTCTGTACACATCACCCATACCTTGCTACCTGTCCTCGCCTCAGTTAACGCTAGGTCCCTGCCATGACTAATATTATAGGGCACCAGTCGCTGGATCCAGTGTCACCTACATCCCTGTACTGCCACTCAAGGTTGAGGCTCAACTTGAGGCCTTGGGGCGTGGGCAAGACACTCCTGAGACTGAGGGCCGCAGACGGCAGGTGGCTTCCTGCCCTCCTCTGATTTCAGCGACCCTTTTAACAGGAACTACTAACTGGCCAAGCTAATTAATTCAGACCTGAGTCGGCAAAGGCACAAGAGGAAACAACACTGGGGGTAGTCATGAGGGAAGCCTTGGGAAGGACTGGTCTGTTACAGAGGACACTTGCTGCTGGAGGGGGACTTTCTTCTCAGAGATGCGACCAGACTTAGGGAGGAATCTAAAGACAGTGCTTGGGCGTTAGAAGTGGATCCAGAAGACTAGGAAGAAGGCAACTCAAGCAGTTGGACAGCCTCCCTCCTAGATATTAACAGTGTCAAGGAGAAAGCGATGAGGAGTCTGGTCCTGACCCTACTGGTTGAGGTTGTGGTGCGTGGGTGACCCTTCACTTTGGAGCCCTCAGCTCCCTCTGCTCTCGAGCGGGATCTCACCAGCTGACCTCAAGCAGCTATCAGAAGCAGCAAATCAAAGCACAGTGCTCCACACAGGAAATTGTCTCTCTAGTCACCATGCTGGGGAAGGCAACAGACAAGGCCCTGACTGCCACAAAGTCCCTGCATCTCTCTAGACCCTCTCCAGGTATTTGCCTCTGCAAATAAAGTAAGACAAAAGGCTCGGGCTTGTCATCCCAGTGATACACACGACAGAATTTGACTAAAAGCACAAAGAACATGGTACAAGGAAGCCCAAATCTGCCTGCTGGTCTGCTGATGGCCAGTCTGCATGCTGGCACTGTTCCTGGGAGAACACACTGGCTGAACACTCTCTGGGATGATGGGAGCTCAGTTCTGGCTGAGATACACACTGTCAGGGGCAGCTCACCCTCTCTCAGGACCTCCTGCTGTGGGTTTATCAGTCACAGTGCACAGAGGACAGTTCTGATCTTTTCCGGTAGAAAAAGAGAAAAATGAAATGACGGCTAACTGCTCGCTCAAGCGGTCACTGGTCAAGGAGACCACCTTCCTTTCCAAGGTGGGCTGTGAATTCTCTTGCCATTCGTCTCCCTGTCCTTCCTGGGTGGGGGAGGGAGGGAGACAGTCTCTAGACGAGCTGGGCATGGGAACACAGGGCTTCTCCCCACAGCCTGCTGTTTCCCGTATCATCAGAGAACAGCCATCTGCTTCAAGGAGATAGGGAAGGTGTTTGTGAAACCTGTAACCCAACCCATTATGGCTGAGGGCTGTACTAAAGCATGGCTGCAGCCCGGCCTGGGCTGTATATTTCTGTGCCATTTGGGGAATCGGCTTCAGAGACGACAAAATAAATCTTGGCCTTCTTTCAAGCCCACGTGTGTGAGTGAAGGCTGCCCAGTCTCCAAGCTTCTAGAAAACTCCTCCTGGACTGTGCCTGGGTTCTGTTTCTCCCAAGCCGCCTGCCCCTCCCCCATGCTTTTATTGTGTGAGTGTGTTTTATTTTAAATCCATAAGGTAATTGGTTTTCTGTAGGGCTAACTGAATTTCCCCAATTTAATTTGCAAAGATGCTCCCCAGGAGCCATTACAGCGCTCACTGTCCTCCAGATTGGATTATTGGCCTCTCTGGGGCTGCTGTATTTTGAGTCAGAAAGTGGGGCCCCACTCCAGTAACCTGATTACCTGAGCAGCGGAACTTCTTGCTTTTGATCTGGCTGATGCGCTTGTTGGCCAGCCGGCGTGGGCTGCTGCAGCGGGCCCCACTCGTCTCGATGGGGTTGTCCTGAAGGTAGTCAGCCAGCCACTTCAAGTGGCAGTCGCAAACAAATGGGTTTTGAGCTAAGTGGCTGAAAGAGGGACAGGGCTGTTAATTGGGGGTGACCTGCGGCACCTTGCTTCTCTACCACCCTGCTTTGGGCTGCACCCTAGCGAACTGGTGTTGCTAGTAACCTGGTGTTGAGGCTCTGCTCTCGGAGAGGACTCAAAAGGGGGGGGGGGGCAGTGATCTGCTGCCAGCTGTCTGCCAAAGGCAGCACAGATGCAGCCAACATCTGGTCTGGGCAATCAGCCTCCCAGCTCTCCCCTCTCGGGGCAGGACCCACTGCTGACTGGCTCCACTTCACCCATGCCAACTCTGGGGGGGCAACGCCAGGTGAGAGCTTCAGAGTTTACACGTAGAGTAACATGCATCTTATTTCTCCAAGCTTGGTGATGCCAGGCACATAAGGCAGCTAGCATAGCGACTGGTGAATGATGAGCGTTCCATATATAGTAGTGGGTATTGTCTCTGTTCACCTTAGCATTATAGGAGTACCACGGGCATTGCCTCCTCTGAGCACCAAGAAAACCTCCACAGCACTAAGCACGGAGCTTCGCACGTGCTCGGCATTCAATCACAAGCAGCTGCTCCCATTCTATATTGGTTCCTGCCTCTCACTACTAGGAAATAAGGGCCAGATGACTTCCAGGGGTTCCAGGAGACCCCTGGGCTCATTGCGGGCCTGGAGCTGGGGCTGAAATCTGAGGTTGGAGCTGCCAACCGACCACAGACTGAGATCTGTACTCATTTGTTTACCCACAGTATTTACACACACCAGCAACCCTTGGGAGTTGAGTTCTGTATGCATAAAGTATGTCCGGAAAGCTTTTATCAGAGGCTTGGCTTTGCGGGGTGCAGGAAGCTTCCAGAAGGAGGGGATGGAGTCTCACGGATATGGAGACTGCTTAGGACACTGCCATGGCTACCGTGCTTATGAGCATAGCTCGCAATCCTGCATTGTACTGTCTGTGACCTTGAGTAAGCAGCACCTCACTCTTTTTGGATGTCTCACATAGACTCTGGGGGTGAGGGTGGCATCCTCCTGGGTTGCTGTGAGGCTACATGTCCTAAAGAGAGATAAACCCCCAGCACGGCTAGACCCTGCTGGGATGCTCCACACAGGTAAGTGCTTTGAGCTCCATCTCCCATCCCTGCTGCACGTGCTAGAAATCCTCCCACAGGGCCTCAGGCCACTCTCGTTTTGGCGGTAGGGGTCTGCCGCTGCAGTACAGTACAGGGCAGTGTACTTACAGGGTCTGGACGGACTGCAGAGGAGCAAAGAGCCCCTTGCTGATCGTCTGCAACTTGTTGTCATACAGAGAGAGCAGGTTGAGGTTCTGCAGGTCCTGGAAGGTGTTCACCCGCAGACAGTTGATCTTGTTGGCGTTGAGGAGGCTGTAGGCAGAAGAGACGCTCTGGTCACTGCCAGTGGAGCAAGGGCTGGCTACACCTGCTGTGACCACTGGAAAGTGGCCATCCCTCATCCCTGTGGCCTTGAGTTTCTGCTGCAGCCCAGAGAAACAGAGGCCACTTCTGGTGGCTTCCTAGACCCTCCTCACTTTGCCTCCATCACCATGGATGCTGTGCTACGTATCCTACCATCACACCTGCCCCTGGCCTTGTCTTGCAGCCTTGGAGAAAAGTTGCGAGTAGAGCCCAGCACTGCATTTTTTTCTGCTTTAGAATGCAGAGCTTCCAGGAATCAGAAAGGGTAAAAAAAAAAAAATCATTTGGTACCATTATTGTAAGGCATTAGTAGATGGAGTCAGGACAATTTTTGATTCAGAGAATTCCTTGGAGCTTGTTTGGGTCACTGACTTCATTGGAAGTCTGATGAAAGTTATAGGCCATCCTCTCAGGGAGGAAATGTGTCCATGCGTAGGCACACACACACACACACACACACACACACAAAAACAAACAAACAAACGAACACCTTTCTCACCTTTATCATAACCTCATACCTTTATCTGCTGTGGAATAGAATATCTGTTTAAGTCAAGGTGTGGTGCATTTGTTTGTGTTGTGGATAATTGTTTAACAATGTAAAGGTGTGTTGCTTTTGTTTATGTCGCATTTGTTTAACTATGTAAAGATGTGTTACTGTTTCACCTTGCTTGCCTAACACACCTGATTGGTCTAATAAAAAGCTGAAGAAAAAAAAAGCTAGCTAGAAACAAGCCTAAAGCTAAGGCTGAACATTCATAATAATAATAATAAGTCTCTGTGTCATGATTTGGGGGCTGGCAGTCCAAGAAGATTGCTATGTCCATCCATTACCCTCCAGCCCCACTGGACAGCTGCTGTTCCTCAGGCATTCTATGGTTGACCCTGAGTCCTTTCTATAACCCTTTCCAGAAAGGCTGGACTCGCAGCTCAAATGGCTTCTCCTCAGGGAGACTTGCCCCAACCCTCTCACCTGCAGGGAGGGCTGCCCTGACCTTCTCTCCCTCCTCAGGGAGGGCTGCCCTGACCTTCTCTCCCTCCTCAGGGAGGGCTGCCCTGACCTTCTCTCCCTCCTCAGGGAGGCCTGCCCTGACCCTCTCTCCCTCCTCAGGGAGGCCTGCCCTGACCCTCTCTCCCTCCTCAGGGAGGCCTGCCCTGAACCCCTTCACCCTCAGCAGGACCCTGAAATCCCATTATCGCCTCTCACAGCCCTATACAATTCCTTTCTGCCACTCACCTCAGTCTGTAACTTGAGGATATTGGTTAGTTTTCTTGTTTGCCCTGTGTGTGATCTACGTTAACACAAAAGTAATCTCTTTAATTTCTCCATTCATTACTTGTGTTTATCTTTCATTAGGGCACATAACCCATTTTCATATGCAACATCAGGGGTGTCTTTCCTTGAAGGCAGCTCTGATCTGGGTTCAGCTTTTCTACCCACAAAGGGACCCTTTCTGATACAGCTCTTTGTACTGTCCGCTCCTTCACAGAACGACATAGGAAGTGGGCGAGACACTGGTCCAGCAGATGCTCTGAGCGTCACAGGCAAGTTTCAGGATGCAGAGCTGCTATGTTGGACAAATTTGGGTGTTGAGCATTTCCCTTATAACTCTGGACTGACTGGTTGTGCCCTTGAAACTATGGTGAAATCCTTTCTCCTTCCTTCTTGAATGAGAGGGAAAGAAACCAAAGAGTAAAAATGTTGAGATTTTAAATATCAGTTCTCATGGCAGACTTAGATCTAGCTCCATTGGTGGTGACTGACCCGGAATTCGGAACAGGACCTGGGATTCAGAACAGACCCGTTTGCTTCAGGAGTGTCTATGTATCAAAGTCCATAGGGACCGGAGTTAGTGCCGGTAGAGCTGCCCCTGGGTACCAACCTCCCCGCCCCTGCTGGAAGCCCACCTCCCTTGCAGTCTCCTGAGTGTTCCAGGTGCTGGCAGGCAGCTGTGGCCATGACAAGCAGAAGAAGAACTGCCTGTTTAATCTGGCTAATCACAGGCAAGGTCTCTGGGGTCCACACAGATGTCCTCCCGCCTCAGAGTGGGGAAAAGAGCTCACGTTGCTAGAATACTCTTTGTTTTCCAGAATGCTTTCCCGACCCCCTGTTATTCTGGCTGTAACCTGGCCAGATGGGCAGCGCCACCTCACAGTTACAGGCGAAGAAACTGAAGCGGAGTCCGAGGGCTTTGCTCAAGGTCAGGACAGGAGAGTTTCCCAGGCATCATGATAACCAGGTCTCTGGGGGTTCAGCTGCTTCTTTATGGATGCTTTATCTACTCCACCCATCTGCCCATCCCCTCCGTAACCCCCCTACTCCCAATTTCCTGTGATTTCTGTATTAAATTGTGGTCAAGGTCAATCTAGGTGGGGACATTTGAAGGAGGCAGATATGAGCAGAAAACAGCCTAGTCACCTGTCATATACAGTTTTTATTTTACTTTTAAGTTTTTAATTAGTTAATGAATGAATGAATTTTGAGGGGAGACAGGGCCTCATTATGTAGCTCTGGCTGTCTTAGAACTCTCTATGTAGACCAGGCTGGCCGCAGACTCAAAGAGATTCGCCTGCCTCTGCCTCCTGAGTGCTGGGATTAAAGGTTTGTGCCAGTAGGCTTGGATATTTTATTTTTTAAGTAATTGTAAACAATTTGTTCTAAATATTGATATTCAAGGCCTCTGAGAGCACCATCTTGTCAGAAATGTGAAACTATTCCATAAAGATACCAGGATGGCTTAGCCAATGGCCTGAGAACCCCGTCTTTCCTCCCATTTTACAGTAAGACCTCTCCGTGTGTCAGAAGTTAGGAATGTTATGTAACACACACACTACACACACATACACTCACTCACATACTACACACACTACACACACATACACTTATACATACTACACACACACAACACACACATTCACTCACACATACTATACACACACACACACAGAGACGCACACACACACATATACTCGCTCACACATACATTAGATCTTTGCTTTTTCTTAGAAAACAAATCTCAAAGCCCCTGGCAATGGCTCTGGTGTTGGCAGCTATGCAGTGGACATATTCACAGGCAGGATGTATGTTCTCTGCCACAGTCTTCATGCCTCCCTACTGTGGACCCTTCTCCCCTGAAGCTTCCTGGCTTGAGAAGGCTTTTGGACTTGACACCCTAGTCCAGATTCATGAGTCCAACAGCGATACTTGGTTCTGAGAAGTATTTGATTCAGACAAGGAAGACGGCTCTACAGACAGAGAAGCAGCAACTCTGCCCTACATGTAGAGTCTACCTAGACTGTGCGGATCTTGGCAATACTTATTCACCAGGTCCAGCTTGGCTTCCTTGCTCGCCTGGGTGCTCCTTTGTCTCCTGCTGCTCCTACATCTCTCAGCATGAGATGTTCTTGCAAAGAGGTGAAATAGTAAAACAACTCAGGCTGGCCGAATTACTAAGAAACATAGCTCAAGGTGCAGCGCTCACGAAACAGGGGGCAGAAGAAGACAGAGAAGGGCGCAGTCTCTTGGACAGTCATCCTCTACCAGCTGCTTGGCGCCCCCAGTCACAATGAGGAGGTGTCGGGAGAGATAAAAATTAAGCTGCTTATGGAGAATTAGACGCTGCGGATGGCCTTCTGAACTTCAGCACCGGCAAGATAGAGCAGCCGGCCTCTGCTCTTTCTCTTTGCGGGGAAGAAGACTGGCTGCCATAAAAGGAGCTCTGAGTTATCTGGTCATGGGCAAGAGATGAGGGCATTTGAGAAGCACCAAAGGAAGAAGAAGAAGAAAAAAAGACTATAGACTCAGCAACCCTTATCTAAAAGGCTTGGGACCAGAAGTATTTGGAATTTCAGACTGTGGACTATTTGTGTATGTATAATGAGAGAGCTGAGGGAACCCAAATCTATCTTTATTTATGTTTCATACACACCTTACATACAAGGCCTGCAGAACCTTTTCTATGACGGTTTTGCATGCTTTTTTGTTTGGTTTTGTTTTTGGCTGTGTGATCTGTCATGTGAGTTTAAGCATGGACTTTCCCACCTGTAATGTCATACAGGCGACCAGAAAGGTTCGGATTTCAGAGCGTTCGGGCTTTTTGAATTAGGGATGCTCAAACTGTACCTGCAATGGACTTTTAGCAATTGGAGGACGGACATGGGCTCGTTTTAAACCTCTTTCTTTGGAGGAAAGGCCTCTACAGTATTTGATCCGAGTTGGTCCATCCTCCTTTGAGGATCAGTAATGTAAATAGTTTTAGAAATGATGGCAAGAAGGCTGTGTCATCTGTGGTGGCCACACCCATGTGCCAAATATTTCCCACGCAACAGAGTTGCGATCACCTCGTCTTTCTGACAAGGAATCTGAGGGTCAGAACGACGACAGACTTGGTCAAGTTCCCCAACAGTGAGTAAAACCTCAGCCTGTGTGACTGCACAGCTCGCCTCCCATCCTCTGCCTGAAATCTACCCGCGTTTTCTCTTATCTGAACCGCTAATCTCTGGTTATGCCTAGCTTTGCTAGCCTTGAGATGTATGGGGTACACTTTGGGTAGACAGAGGCCTGGTTGGGTCTAGGAGACCCTGTTTGTTTCTTGGGAGGAGGGCGGCAACTCAGTTTGGCATATTCACCCTAGTGTAACTCAGAGAAGCTGGCAGTTTCTGTATCTTGTAGTTTTGTGAGGCTGGGGTTCCATGCTCAGGGCTAGCTAGGTGCTGGTGAGGGAGATGGTGTTCATGGCTCTTTATTCTCCTCCCTAAGAAGTTTCCCTGCATTCTGGGATGACCAAGAGACAACAGCATCCTCTATACTTGGGATGTTCATTTGCATCATTCCAGAGGCCTCTTTCCCAGCTGCAAACACTGACCCCTCAACTGTACACAAGTGTCCTCAGAGCAGAACTAACTCTGGAGCTTCCCGGCCAACCTACTAAAGGGACCTCAGGAGCCAT